CAATACATTGATTGTTTTCCTATTATCCATGAATTGACAACCCACTGAATCAATGAATTTGTTGATGAAATGACAAAATCTTGTAATTGCTGATCAACCATGTGTTGTAATGAATATGCACATCTCCCAACTACTGAGCATATCAGTATAAACAATGAGTTGAAGAGAAAAGTAATTGCTATTGGATAAGACTGAAGAAGAAAAAGTGACTACTTAATGTCATGAATTGAAGTGACTAAACACTAAATGGGTTTCAGCAGACAATGTGCTGAAATGACTAAACACTGAATGGGTTTCAGCAAACAATGTGCTGAAGTGACTAAACACTAAATGAGTTTCAACAAACCATGTGGGGAAGTGACTAAACCCTGAATGAGTTTCAACAGACCATGTGGGGAAGTAACTAATTCCTAAATGAGTTTCAACATACCATGTGCTGAAGTGACTAAACCCTAAATGGGTTTCTGTAGACCATGTGCTGAAGTGACAACACAATTGATAAGGCGAAAGAGTGAAATGATCTTACACAAGTTTGATGCATGACTACACTATCTTATTATTGCTTGATGTGACCTGTCTAGCACACTAGGGTTTGGACACTACTATTTAAATACCTTATTTATGGTTGATATGAAAAACACAAAATTATGTCTATATCAAATTTCTCTACGAGATTTAACAATCGTAGACGTGAACGGGTTTGGTTGTTATAAGAGCGAAACGATGATTACAAGAATGAGAGATTTTCTTATCCAAAAGAGTATTATGTAGGAGTACGACGAGAGTGGGCTTTTCGTGCTAAAGAATCAGACAAACTATTCACACAACTAAGAGAACTTGGCATATCAGTGCCTCGTAGACGATTACTAACAATGCAACGTCAGAATAGAGAGGACTACAAATCAACAGTAAAACATGTTCGAAGAGAGAATAATGGAATGTTGGTGCGTAGGTGTCACTATTATATGCTCCAACAAGCAAAAGACATGATGGGAATTGCATATGGACGAGAGTTGACACCAGTTGAGCAAAATAATATATTGTCTAATGCACAATACTTATCAAATAATTATATGTCTGATGAAGCTTAATGTAGTTAGTGTGCAATTATTTTTTCCAATGTCATATAGTATGAAGTCATGTCAGTCCTATATAATTGAATTTTTATGTCATTATTTTATCACTATGAAGTCATATTATTGCCTTATCATTGTGGTCAGTCCAGTGTCAAGTTATGTCTGTTCTTTTGTCATTCAATTTCTCCCATGTTTGGTAAATAAAAAATGTATCGAAAATTTCATTCGAATTTATCCGAACCCGATTTAAAAAGTCAACTTTAACGCCTATACATGAGTTAAATGAAACCCAAAGGGGCACGAATTTTTTTGGTAGATAGGATAACTAATTTAAATGACCGAATTGTCCTACTCTCTCTCTCTCTCTCTCTCTCTCTCTCTCGTCGGCTTCATCTACTTTTGTTTTTTCATAGATCTAATTTTTTTTTCAACAAATTTGTTGTTGACATACCTCAAGAAGACTAAGACATTTTCTCCAACAAGTCAACTAATTTAAATAATAAACTAAATCTAATAAAAAAAATCCTATTTGGACTAAGATTAATTAATAACTAATAAAAAATAACTAATTAACAAGAGCTTGAGTTAATTTTCAATAGTTCTCGTAACATATAAACATTTGTCTATAGGATATGAAATTACAACATTTTTAAAAATTACATGTAAGAAAAATTTGTTTGGAATCTGTCAAAGGCTAATTTATAAATCAAATATGGTGTTGGGTTGGATAGGTTAGGGGCAAAATAGTCAATGATACTATATTCCTGCATCCTTTTCCATGGGTCACACAAAAGTGCTTATGTGATACTGGAAATGAAAGGATATTACAATCAAATCCTAACTAGTGCAATGATAGGTGGGTTTAGGTTGGATATAAAAAAATATTTTTTTAGATCTCCAATCCAGTACAACCATCAACCCAAAAAAAATTTTAGTTCAACCCTATCATCCAAACATACTCTTATAAGTATGATAAATGTTTAACCTATCATCTTTGAATTACCAGAAGTTAGGCTCAACCATTAAACTAGGCTAAGGGTTAACAACCACAATTGATTATTGTAAATTAATAGACTCGTAAAATCATGGGATTAGAGTTGATATTAGGGCTGTTAATCAAACTGAGCTACTCGAGCTTGACTTGAGTTCGGCTCGGGTTCGGTTCGTTTTCTAAATGAGTCTGAACTTAAACAAATTTTTATACTCATTTAAAAAACAACTCCAACAACTTTTGCTCAAACTCGACAGACTCAACTCTTTTATGTGTAAATACTCGGGTTCGGCTCGGGCTCGACTTGTTTTTGGCTTGTTCAGGCTCGACTTGTTTAGGACAAGTCGAACTTGAACAATATTTTAGGCTCAATTAAGAAATAAGCTTTCAAGCTTGGCTCGGGCTCATTCGACTAACAATCCTAGTTGATATTAGCAATAAAAGGGAAATTATGCTAAAAACAAACACAAAAGAGAATGTCGAGCAATCAACATGAAAAACTTGGGAATTAAGACTTTTGTCAAATGTTTATCTCCTTAACTGAATTTGAAACTTAGAATAACAAATTGAAATTTGGGTGCTGTGGATGTTTAGTAAGTTTAAATTATTGGGTCGAATTTTTGTCATGTATACTATTGACGACTTATGCATTACACAAACCCGACACGCTATAATCCTGATTATACATATTTATAAGTGGATAGCATATTAGTGATGTATTGGAAAATTTTAATACAATATGAATGTCGATTCGATATGAACAATAAATGACCAATTTCCAACTTTAATGTAGGGGTGCAACTCGGGTGGGTTGAGGAGTCAATTATAGTCTAAACCTAGGTATATAATTTTTAACCTTAACCTTAATCCTAACCCGAGAACTGCCCAAGTTGAATTTGGGCGGACTCGGGTTGAATTCGGGTTACTTAATTAGGTTAAAATTTGGGTTGGGTATAGGTTATTTAATTTGAGTTGGTTTCGGGTTTAAATTTGGGTTGAGTTGGTTGAAGTTANGAACTGCCCAAGTTGAATTTGGGCGGACTCGGGTTGAATTCGGGTTACTTAATTAGGTTAAAATTTGGGTTGGGTATAAGTTATTTAATTTGAGTTGGTTTCGGGTTTAAATTTGGGTTGAGTTGGTTGAAGTTAATTGTGAAATGTGAACCCTAGTTTTAAGTTATGTTATTGAATCTATTGAATTATATATTTATTTTTAAATATGTTCGGGTTGAACCCGGTAACCCAAGGCCTCAAATCTGGTATTGTCCGAATTCAATTTGGATTGGTGTTTTTAAGCCCAAGCCTAACACAAGGATTAAAAATTTCAACCTAAACTCTATTTTTTTTAGGTTGAATTTGAGTTGGCCCGTTCAAGTTGCACCCCTACTTTAATGACAGGTGCATATAACTTCTCCTCTCTCCCCATTGTTGGGAAAAAAATCCATCTCTACGGTAAGAATTTTGTGATTGATGTCTTCTAACCCTTCATCCTCCTAGGACCTCAATTCTACCTGAATGGTTTAAGCCCTCTTTAATAGAACGACATTTTGAAGGTTCGATCCCCCTCACTAGCTCCACTCCCCCTCCCCCTCTCCCTCCCTTTCTCCTATAATAAAAAAAATCATTGCTATAAAAAAAACTCTTCATCCTCCATGTCATTTAAACCAAGTTTGTTTTAAATAATGGATATTTAATTTATTGGTCACACTGATATCAAATAGAAAGAGCAAGATATGGAAAAATAGTCTACCCTAAATCCAATCGTATTAAAAATTAAGGTGTCGTTTGGTAATTACATTTTTTTTTGATTTCATTTTATAGCAAAAAAAAAAAGACGTTTGGTGAATGTTTTTTTATTTATTTTTTATTGCTCTGTTTTGAAAACAAGACCAAAATATAGAAACATCCAAAATGATGTTTTTGAAAACATCAAAAAAAAAAAAACAAATGAACGCGCTCTTCAAAATGGATTTAATGAGGTCTTAACTTCGATCCTTCTTAGCAACAAAATGATAGATTTTCTTTCTTGAGTATAAAAAGTCCCCTCACCTCCTTCACTTCTTTTTTTTTTTTCAGATCTCTTTCTCTCTCTTTTCCTCTCTTGCCCTTCTCAGTTTTGGTGGTGGTGATGAGTTTTGGGGCATGGTGGTGGGTTTCAGGGGTTTTGCATGGGGTTGGGTGATGAGTTTTGGGGATAGTGGTGGTGGGTTTTTATAGGGGTGTTGGGTGGTGGGTTTCGGGGGGTGGAGGTGCGGTTGGGTGGTGGTGGATTTCAGGTGTTGAGTTGTGGATTGTTGGGTTTTGGTGGTGGTGGTGGTGGTGGGGTTGGGTGGTGATGGATTTTGGGGGTGAGCGATGGGTTTTGTAGGGGGTTGTGGGGGTGGATTTTAGTGGTGGTTGTGAGTGTGTGGTGGTGGTAGGTGGTTGGATGTTTGGTGGTATTAAGTAGTTGGTGGTGAATTTTTGATATAATATCAAACATATTTTTTATTTTTATTTTTATAAATTTTTAAATATAAATGACTACCAAACATGTTTTATATTTTCAATTTTTATCACAAAAAAATAAAATTTAGTTTTGTTTTTTCTTATTAAAAAAACGTAAAAACGTAAACGTTACTAAATATACCCTAAGTGTTTGATATCATATTTACTTTTTTTGTACAATAAAAATGTGATGGGTGTAAAATTTGTTTATTTTATTATTTAACTTTATTAATGGCCAGAGAGTATTGTTTGGTAGCAAAAGGAAATTGATTGGGAAAATATCTCTCACCCAATCCGTGAATCCTGTATGGACCAATAAGTTAAGAGTAAACTGCCAGGTTGCATTGCTAGATTAGATAAACCAAATGGCATGAGGCCACCAAAGAAAGGTCTAATTCCTCCTCCTCCTCCTCCCTCTCTCTCTGTCTGTCTTTGTCTCCACCACCATGCCAGCAGCAGCAACAGCTTTTCATTCTTCCCTTTGTTTCTCTCAGCAGAAACCATCATCCCCACCCCCAAATTGCCAACAAGACAACTTTCTCACCACAAAACCCAAGACCCTCCTTCAAAATCACGCACTCTACTCTCCAACCCATGCAAATCTCTCTCTCCAATTCAAAGAAAAAATCATATGCCTTGAAATAATGGGCATTGACTCAGGTAGGGCACTGTCTCAAAACCCATCTCTCCACTCAGCCTCCCTACATTCCATCCATTCCATCATCACGTACCTCCAATCCAAAGGCATCCATCAAAAGGACTTGGGAAGAATCTTTGGCATGTGCCCCAAAATCCTAACCTCCAACATCAAAACTGAGCTAAACCCAGTTTTCAACTTTCTCTCCGATTACCTGAAAGTCCCAGACCAGAACTTCAGGAAAGTAATCAACAAGTGTCCCAGATTACTAATTTACAGTGTGAAAAACCAGCTCAAACCAGCTTTGTTTTATCTTCAGAGACTTGGGTTTAAGGATTTGGAAGCTTTGATTTATCAAGACTCAATTTTGTTGGTTTCTAGTGTGGAAAAGACTTTGATTCCCAAGTTGGAGTTCTTGGTGGAATTGGGGTATTCAAGGAATGACGCAATTGGAATGGTTCTGAGGTGTCCTTGTCTTTTCACCTTTAGTGTTGAGAATAATTTCAGGCCAAAGTTTCAGTATTTTAGTGAGCAGATGGAGGGTACGTTGGAGGAGTTGAAAGAGTTTCCTCAGTATTTTGCCTTTAGTTTGGAGAAGAGGATAAAGCCTAGGCACATGGAGATTGTGCAGAGTGGGGTAAAGATTCCTTTGCCACTTATGCTTAAGGCTACTGATGAAGAGTTCAGGGAGTTGATAAGGTAAAGGGGTGGTAATTGTCTGCTAGGAGCCCTCTCTCTCTCTCTCTCTCCCTCTCCCTCTCTCTCGCCTGTTATGTAATTATTGATCTGTGTTTCTTGGTGCATTGTAAATTTGGGCGCCATCCATTCAAACTCATAGAGCTATTCATACTGTTAATTGTAAACTGATAATTATTATTTTTTTAATGAATTTTTGGAAAGGGGTTTAAAGTTTTGAGTTCATTCTTGATGATTTAGGAAAAGGCAAGCAAAAACTAAATACTTTGTGAAAATAATGTATCTGATCTTAGAGATCACACGTTCCCTAAAATATTTCTATTACAATACATTCCATGTTTAGTTTGTAATTTGAATTTTTCATCAGTTATGTTCTTTGTATAGAAAGATTCTTGTGCCCAATCCCATGACTTCTGGGATTCAATTGTTAATTGGTCCCATGGTTTATGGGATTGGATTTCAGCTGCTTGTATATACGAGGTTTTGACCAAAACCAGCCTCCCCACGAACTTTATTTCCAAACTCAGTGAATTTAATCTTATTTCTTAAATCCAGTTTTTTTTTTAAAAATGTCAGTGCAGTACATTACCAAAAAAATGTTTAAAATATTATTTGTGTGTACATGAATTTTGTGACTAATTTTGAGAAATTTGTTTTGTATATGTTAAAAAATTNTTTAAAAATGTCAGTGCAGTACATTACCAAAAAAATGTTTAAAATATTATTTGTGTGTGCATGAATTTTGTGACTAATTTTGAGAAATTTGTTTTGTATATGTTAAAAAATTGTCTATTCTAATTTTATATTATTAGTTCATTGAACAATGAGAGTTGACTTACAAAAGTGTACAAAACATGGAAATATAGAAAAATATACTTCTACATTAAACAAAACAATATTATTACATGAGACTGTAAGAAATACAGTGCATCAATATTGTGGTTGATATAGAAAACAACATAGAGGGTTACCGAGTACATATAAACTCAATAGAATAAAAGTGTCAAACACATCATCGCTTAAATCAGAATAATTAGAGTTCAGAATTGAAAACAAGTAATAGATTCTGTAAATTTTGAATCTCAGCATAGTCAGGTTCGAAATGCTCAATTTTTTCATGCTCGATTGCATGTAAACGATCAAATCGACGCTGCATCTAATCATTTTCACGTTCAAGCTTTGCTATGATCTCTTTATGGTCGGAAGAGTTTTGTGAATCATATATATCAGCCGAACATGATTTCGGTAACATTACTCCATGCCAACTATAATATATTTCAAGTTCACAATGTTTGTCATATAACTGTCGCCATCTTGGTGTGAATTTGATACGAGCACTTGGAGGCGGATAGTCGGTCGCAGGTCCAACAAATACTTGTTGAACTTGACCGAATGAGTGATAAGGGTTGATGGGTTCATTACGAAAGTCACGCTTTTGTCCACCAAGTTACATAGGTAGAATCTGTGTAGGATTCAATTGAACGAACTACATTCGACGATGCTATTCGGCCGGTTGAGTGTTGACGTTTGTGGGCCAAAAATGAACTTTGTTGTACATTGCACGATGAAGAACCTTGAGTGGTTTGACTAGATTTCTTATTAGATGTGCGCATAGACATTTTTTGGGTTATGAAGTACACAATTAATAAGGATAGTTTATATAAATACGAAAGGCAATTATATATAAATTTGACAGGATAATTATTGTATACAACTAACATGACTTGACATTAATATGGTAATGACATGATTTCACAGTGATAAAATAATGACATAACATATGAATTCCACACACTTTTTTATCCTATCCTACTAGATTTATCCCGAGGTAATTCGCGATCAAAATATACCCTAAGGGTCAGTCACCCTTGTTCCTTAGAGGAACATTTTCTAAACCCACTCGGGTTACATTAGTTGGTATCCGAGCTTGAGAAAGTAGTTAGCACAAGTCTGGACACCCTGTAACAAAACAAGAAAATTGTGATTGTCATATTAAACACTTGCATATACGTGACAAAAACCCCTCTATCAAAGACCTATGCATTTTATGAATCTGCCACGACAAAAATGCCACTATTTAAGATTATAAGTGGTGCATCATGTATGTATTGAGTAAAGTTTAATGCAATACAATGTGGACATGATATAAATTTGACAGGACTTATATCAGTTTTATTGTTAGTTACTTAACCTTTCCTCCTACGTATGGGATTTTTTTTGTCTAAGATACGAATTCTTGTGATTGATGTCTTCTAACTTTTTGTTCTCTTTGGGTTGAAGTATTCCATCTTAATTATTATCCTTGATGTTAACAAGAAGTGACTTCTCCCATTGATATTTAAATATCTCTTGCATGCCAAAATAGTGAAAATTCAATCTTCAAATTGAGTGTCACTATCTCACTGTGTCATGCCAAAAAAGAGTGCTTAACTTGTTGTATCACTTAGCATGTATTGCTCTCTTTCTTTCTTTTTTCTTTTTCTTGAACGGTCAAGGATGTCCGGACCAACTTGCATGCACCTTGACAAGTGCCCTCCCTAGTCTAGTCCAAGACAAGCCATCAACACTAGGACTAAGATATTCACGAGGGATAACTTCCTCAAGATTGACCTCAAGGGGTTACCTATTGAGCATTTAATTTTACATATTTCATGATTTAATCCATCCACTTTATGCGTTTTCTTCTTGTTTATTTCTATGAATTATGTTGGAATTTGATTAATTGTGTGCATTTGTGTTTATAGGTGCAAAGGAGAGGAGAAGGCATGATGGGGATTCAATATAAATATCATAGGAAGGCATAGCAAAGAGAAGGAAGTGAACAAGGAGGAGCAAAGGAAAAATCAAGAGAAGACCCTAATGTATCAGTACAAATTGTACCAATTCAACAAGCTGTAGATAAAAGATGTACCGGTTAATGGATTGTGTACCGGTTCATCGAGCTCTAGAAGGTTGTTGTACTAGTTCATGCCATACTTGTACCGGTACAACCATCAACAAAAACCTATGAACCAATTTTACCTCACCTTTGTACCGGTTCTTCACACACATATGCGGTGCACGAGTCCTGAGCTTTCATTTGGATGTCGTGGGCTCACTTTATCTGCTTCCACTCTCAAGGGGCAGGCTCTTAATACCTAGGCCTTGGTTTTGATTGGTTGATGACACCTTCGAAGTTTCACGTGAACACTCCAATTGGAAGACACTGGTGAAGAAAACTTTTTTGATAAAGCACCCACCACCCACACCATACATTTTGGCCAATGAGGATGGATAAGGAAAGATGCTACTATATATACATCTCTAATACATTGGAGAGACGCTCTTTGCTTACCTTTACTTTAGTTTTTAATTTTTGTTGTAGTTTTACATTGTGAAAGTTTTGTCGAGCTTCAAAGAATTTCTATTTCATTTTCAAAGCTTGTGTTGTATGGTTTGTTCTTGTATTTGAACTTACCATTTTGAAGATAATCTATTCGAAGTTATTCTTTCCAATCTTGTTGTTCATTTACCTTTGATTTACGTATTGTTTGTTGTCGATTTTGATTTGATAGGTTTTACTTCCGGCTAAGTTTTGAAGTAATCCAAAGGAGGATCCTCACTTGTGATTTGTGATGCCCCAAAATCCGAAGGTCCTTTTCTCAACCCGTAGAATATCCGTGAATACCGTATAACCCGACACCACGTCATCACATCCCCTTTTACTAGGATCATAATATAACGGAATCCAGACAGCGTCTCCTTTGCATGGGAGTGCTACCCAATGCTTAACCAATTCATATATTATTCGTATGACAATTGCAAGGTCCAAATCCCATAGTTTATGACTTAATATTTATTCATTTACATCATCCAAAGAATTCAAATCAAGAGGGGAAATGCTCGGCAAAGTTTCGTTTAAAATTTCAAGTTTTGGGGAGAGGTGTCAATACCTCATATAAGTGGTACCGGTACTTGAGCTTTTTGTTTGCTAAGTACTAGTACCTGAGCCCACTGTTTGATAGGTACTAGTACCTAATAGCCTAGATATCAGTACCTGAGCTCACTATCCATCGGGTTACTAGTACCTAAAGCCTAAGTACCGATACCTGAGCCCACTAGAATCTAGATACTGATACCTGTAAGCCTAGGTACCTATACCTAGGTCATCCAACAGCATGGTACCGGTACCTATTCACTTTGGTATCGGTACTTAAGCCTAGATTTCCTCCAATCTTTGAAATTTTCAATTCATCCTATCCAAACTCATGCCATACCCAACATATTCATTCATTTACATGAAAACATTGTCCAATATAGTCCCATTACATACTCTAGAACCAATATACAATTTCAAAAATAAATTTATATGATTGATTTACAAATTGCAATACAAAAACCATATTCCGGCTCCATCATTAACAAGGACCCAAATGAGGTCTTTCCATCGGTGCTTGTCTAACATCTGAAATATGTTCCCATAAAAGATGAACTACACTCAATAGAATATCTCCTAAGGAGGCTCCTCCTCAACCCAAATTCATATGAAATGTCATATGAAAATCATCACAACAAGCATTCATTGAAACACATACATGTCATAATTGAATGCTACAATGTCATTTCATGTTATGAGGTGAAACCCACGCATGTAATTCAAACCCAAGCTCTCCACCAGCTTCCGTAACACATGCAATGTCATGTGTATGCATCCGGACATGCCAAGCCCCTACTATTGATGTTGGACATCCAACGAACATTTTATAAAATCTTGTATCTTTTTGGGTGGGTAATTTATGGACAACACACCAAGGGCCTAACAAATCTGCACGACATTCGAGAACATCTCACCCCAGGTTTCAAGTACACCTATACACTTTTCTAAAATTTCACCATAGGAAAAATGAGTAAACCAAGTAACTAGGTCTTGCACCCGAGGGAAAATATATCCCTTCTTGCTACACCTAACACATGTTTTTAATGCAACCCATGTGACTCGGTCCAACCTAGGCCCAACCTTTCCAAGCCCACATATCAGCTCACCAAGGATAGTGTTTGATTAAAAACATGCACATAAGCCCACATTCATGTCAAATGCCTATGAATGCAATGTTACTCATGCATATGCAAATGGAATGTACAATTGCAATTCACAATGTCATGTTCTTCATATCATGAACATATAATGAACATACCCAATTTTCCAATGTCAAATATATCATAAAGCATATAATAACATTTCACAACACGATTAAGCATGCTATAACATTTTCAATTCAAATAAAATACTTGAACATCCATAGGCATTTATCAAACACCTATAAGACACAAAAGTAAACACATAGCATGCACAAACAACACATTATTCATGAAACCCATACCAAGCAATTTCATCAAATCCAAATTATACAAGAATTGGTTTTAGCATATTACTATACTCATTTTTCATATTCTAACAACCTTAGGTATGCGTTATACATGAGAATACATCTCCAATAACCTACCCATTTCATATTTCAACCCTAGGTTAGAAATAAATCTAGTTAGAATTTGAATCCAATCTCTTGTCACGTATATCTGCTTTATAGGAGCCTTAAAAACCCAAAACCAAGTTCAAAGTTTTTGCCCTAAAATCCCGTCCTTGAGATTTTTGGAGAAACGCATGATTGTTGGAATGGTCTCTTAGCTTTCGTCGCCTAGAATAACTTTAATTCTTGGCCGAAAGAGATCTATCGGTCGAATCTTTGCGGATCAAGGAAAGAAGATGGGAAGAACTTGGAGAATTCTCTCTCTATTTTCTCTCTCTCTCTTTCTCTCTCTCTCTCTCTCTCTCTCTATATATATATATATATATATATATCAGAAATTGCAAGCCAAAATGGGGGAGAAAATCAGATTTTTCCCCTTTTAAATACCCTTTTGTGCTTGGCTCACAATGCGTAATACATCCCATCTTTTTCTGATCCGATTTTATTTTGAATCAATTAAATCTCGTTGTGAGTTAGGTTCAATAAATTTTTATTGAAATAAATTTAAATTATTTCACTAGTTTCATGAATGAAATTTGATCGTTTTTTTTTTTAGATGCACGATGCCCAATCGCCTAATAAAATGCGAAAAATCCAACTGTCTTAAAATTCGATAAAAATTGACTAGGTAACTAAATTTCGCAAGATGATTCCAATGGTTAATTCATTTCATCATCCGAATTCTAGAAAAATTTGGGTTGATGATAGGATTACTTTCTCTTACTTACTTTTAAGGCATAAATTTGTCCACTTGCTTGAAGTGAACTTACTGTCTCAGTAAGGGACTATTGCTCACTAAGAATGAGAAAAGAAGGAAGGCGAAAGGCTAATTGCAACTTTAGCATATTCTATTAATCTTTTTAACGCATACCGTGACGGCTAATTATCATTTTACCTTTTTTAATAAAATTTTAATTTTTTCGGGTTTTACATTCTTCTCCCCTTAAAGAAATTTTGTCCCCGAAATTACACGCACATGCACATATAACAACATTCATATACTACTCTAAGACTACAAGAAATGTACCTCCATCCTCGACAGGAACGGATAGATAGCAGTATCCTCACGCTCCCATGTTGCCTCCTTTATACCATGGTGCTGCCATAACACCTTCATCAGCCTCACAGTCTTTCCACAAAAAACCTGATCTCGGCTTTTCATGATACGCACTAGTCCATCCTCGAAGGTCTCATCCGCATCAACAATCAGCTTACCCCAATCCACCACATATGTAGGATCTGGAGTGTACTTTTAGAGCATCGAGACATAGAACACCGCGTGAACACTTAATAAATTTTATGGTAATGCCAATTGGTAAGCAATTGTGCTAACCCTCTTGAGTACCTCGAAGAGCCTAATATGCTTCGACGATAGCTTNTCCGCATCAACAATCAGCTTACCCCAATCCACCACATATGTAGGATCTGGAGTGTACTTTTAGAGCATGGAGACATAGAACACCGCGTGAACACTTAATAAATTTTATGGTAATGCCAATTGGTAAGCAATTGTGCTAACCCTCTTGAGTACCTCGAAAAGCCTAATATGCTTCGACGATAGCTTCCCTCATTTTTTGAATCTAACCACTCCCCTCTTAGGCATAACCTTCAAGAAAATATGATTCTCAACCTCAAACTCTAGAGATTTTTGTTGCCTATCAACATAGCTCTTCTGTTGGTTTTGAGCCATAAGAAAACACTTCCGTATCAATTCCACCTCNAAAGCCTAATATGCTTCGACGATAGCTTCCCTCATTTTTTGAATCTAACCACTCCCCTCTTAGGCATAACCTTCACGAAAATATGATTCTCAACCTCAAACTCTAGAGATTTTTGTTGCCTATCAACATAGCTCTTCTGTTGGTTTTGAGCCATAAGAAAACACTTCTGTATCAATTCCACCTCCTCTAAGGTGTCCCCAATCAAGTCCGAACCAATGGAGGGTTTCTCTCCAACCTCCATCCAACATACTGGAGAATGGCACAAACTTCCATAAAATGCCACATAGGGTGTCATATGTATGCTCGCCTAGTGACTGTTGTTCTAGGCGAACTCCACTAAAGGTAAGTGTTTTTCTCAACTACCCTTGAGATCAAGGACACATGCTCTGAGCATGTCCTCTAAATTCTGGATGGTCCTCTCTAACTGATCATCCATCTGGGAATGAAAAACTATACTCATCATTAACTGCGTTCCTATAACCTGCTGAAATTTCTCCCATAATTGAACCATGAACTTGAGATCCCGATTCGATACTCTAGATACAAATATCCCATGCAACAAGACTATCTCTCGTATGTACAATCTACAAAAGTCCTTGCTTGATCGTTTTTCTAACTTCCCACACAAACTTGGTTGTTTGTGTATATGACTTATAGAGTATGCTGAGTGTCACTCTCCCTCAAGCTTAATGCAAGAAGTGGGAAAATTGTGTGTGAATGAACAAAAACATGTGCGAATATGCAAAATTGCTCCCCAAGTGTAAAGATACTTGCAATGTCGTGTTTTAATTGGAATGAGTATTCCAAGGTCGTCTCCCCAGGGAAGACGAGGTCGGGTGTTCTTGAAGAGTAACTTGTAAAAGTGAAAATTGGAAAATCTTGTGATTGAAAATTTGGTAGGTTGTGAATTGTGAAATATACAGGATATGGGGTTGGCTAATCCATAGAGCTCATTCCAATGGGAATGTCAAATCGAATCATTTCGTTGAACCAATTGTATAGGTGTTTGATTGATTCATAGGAAGTGAGGAATGAGTATGGTTGCG